ATTAGCACTACGGTAGCATTTTTCGACAAGGCAGCATATATCGACAGAACACCGGCATTTGGAACATGTACCGATGAAGCCTACAAGATGAACGTTTAAAATAAATTCTGTAGCCGGACCTGTTCACTGTGTTTGTCCATTTTTATACATCGCCTGACCGAAGTCTGGAGTCACTCCATCCTCCCCCTCGGACTGCAGGGTGTTCATTGCCAGACTAAAATTTCTGCGCCAGAAAGTAAAGTGTTTTTTTTTTTTCTTTTAATACGGAGGATAAATCCGTGGGATAAATCTGTTGCGCTCATTGTGAAAACGTTACTTAGCCTCCAGCGACCACTGGTTTACCAAACTTCGGTGCGGTTTTGAGCATCGTGTGATTGTACGCAGGTCCCTCGAGAAAACTTTTTCCTGTTTTTTTCTTTTGTTTTCATTTGGGACGCACAATCTTTATCAAAGAATCGTTTAGGCTTGGCATCAACATGATATTGAATAGGACTGAAGTCGCACTGGTTTTTATTCTCTGTCCGATGGACATTGTCGCGTTATGGTGGTAAGTAATTAATATATTGCTATGCAAATATGTTAATTAATACTTTCGGTTGTTATTGATTATGTGTATGAATATCTATACCAGATTATGAAATTACATCAGTGTGCATCAAGGGTAGAGTGGGATAAGAAAAACGAAAATGTCTAAAACTAATGCTGCAGTTATGTGATCCCTATACGTAGCTGTATTTGTTGAAAATTGATTCTCCTATACTGCCAAAGCGCGGATAAATTAATTCCTTCCGTTTACCAATATTTATGAACTTTTTCAAAGGATCTCTTCATCCACCAACTAATTATCCTGATCAGGGTCGCAGATTTTTCCTAAACATCTGAATAAAAAAAGTTTCGATTCAATTTATGAGGAATTAACTCTGCATACATTAGATTGTAAAACACGCTATAACCCAGGAGAAGAGAATTGAATTTTATGTAAAAAAAAAACCTCCCTATAGCATGATGTGGTTGGGTAGACAAAATTTTGCGATTTAAATGTAGCCTATTCTTAATTTTTGATCCATGGCAACAAGGGATACAACAAGTCTGAATTTTTCAGAAATCTATACTGTTACTTGTGCATGAACTGACATTGAGATCAGCACAACACAAGAGAACTCTTGAAGGTCTCATGCCAGACCCTCCTTACCTGAAATGTCCTCATTGTTCCTCTGTGTTTTATGTATCATATTCAGCCTTTATAGCTAAAATACACTGCAGAAAGGAGCATTCTGGGGAGGGACTTGAACAAGGAACCTTCAGGTTACTCTTCCAAGGGTGAATTTCCCAATTCCTTCTTAACGGTACTTCGTTCGTAAGTTCCGTGTTAAAAGACACGACGTAGCGAGAGCGGAGACTCTAAGGGCTAAGGTGACTCTGGGGCTAAGGTGACTCTAAGGGCTAAGGTGACTCTGGGGTTAGGGTGACTCTAAGGGCTAAGGTGACTCTGGGGCTAAGGTGACTCTAAGGGCTAAGGTGACTCTGGGGTTAAGGGGAGTCTAAGGGCTAAGGTGACACTGCGGTTAAGGTGACTCTAAGGGCTAAGGTGACTCTGAGGTTAAGATGACTCTGGGGCTAAGGTGACTCTGGGGTTAAGGTGACTCTGGGGCTAAGGTGACTCTGGGGCTAAGGTGACTCTAAGGGCTAAGGTGACTCTGGGGCTAAGGTGACTCTAAGGGCTAAGGTGACTCTGGGGCTAAGGTGACTCTGGGCTAAGGTGACTCTAAGGGCTAAGGTGACTCTGGGGTTAAGGTGACTCTGGGCTAAGGTGACTCTAAGGACTAAGGTGACTCTGGGGTTAAGGTGACTCTAAGGGCTAAGGTGACTCTAATATACCCATTAGGGTTAAGAGTGAATTTTGTCCTTGCCTTGTAGCAGTCTGCTAAGCTTTAGCTTTCGTGTTGTTGGCTAACAGCTAACGATACCGTTATATTGTCTCACAACTATGTTTTAGTTCACAGGGAAAATAACTTCCATGGTTTCTGTCAAAACATTGAAATCACAACCTGTTGCCCTTGACCTCAGTAATCGTAAACACTGCAACCAACACATGATCTCAGTTTATGTACGATTCTAAGCGACGAAATTTTTTTCTTGGCCAGTCATGAAACCATTGATTAATTGTTAATCACTGGAACCAAACAGCAGTATTTACAAGCTTTTAAACATACAGTTAAACAAATGACGCACATAAGAAAACCGAGTGCTGATTAGCTGTCAACAGAGAAGATTTGCAGTTTAAGTCTTTATAAACGTATAGGTGCTAGCTGGGTGGTTAAGGGGTTTGTGAAGGAAAAAAATTCAGAGCCCCTTACGACAACCATAACTCACAGTCATACTGAATTATTACCAATGAATGAGCAGCTGTGTTTATAACACAATACATGTAAGTGTTTTATATAGCATGAGTGACCTCCCCCATACAATAACAGGCAATAAACAGAGACGAGCATATTTACAGGTCAACAACAGCAATAAATATCATCTGCATCTTTTAGGGGAGTAAATGATATTCGCTGGAAGAAAGGCTTTGAGACCATCAAGCATCTCATAACCACACCAACACACAGAGGCATCTGCGTAAGCAAGTGCTGAATGATATATCAGAGGATTTAACAGGGTTCTGCCCCCTGCCGAGAGCGGGAACCTATGGCAGGTTCCCATGGCAACACATAAACTCTTGGTGATTGTGCATCCAGCGGCTGAATCCGAGCGGGTGGGCTGAGAGGGTCTTCGTACCGCGGTTGAAGCTCACAGGTGATGTTTATGATGTCACATGGTTTTCATACCACACACTCCGTCCAAATCACCACCGCCCTCTTTGGTATGTCTGATATCTACCACTGACGCATATTATCCCATCGTGGCTCTTGCAAAGAGATTTGCGTTTTCTTTGCTTGCAGCTCGCAGATAAACAACAGCATTATATCCAATCTCATAGGAATCAGTATCACTTCCGAGAGGGCAGGATTAATGGTTTCTCGTCTCTGCTCCCTCCTTATGAATCCTTATGGATTCATGTGTTTTTTAAAAACCCACTACCTTTTCTTGCTAGTGTAAATCAGAATCAATCACTTCTATGGTTTAAAATTGAAAGAGCTATCACATGAAAACAAATGATAAAGGATTATAAATACTTCTCATCATGATTTAAAAAGATATAGAGATTCATTTATTTTTTATTAAACTTGACATAGGCCTATAGACTCTTTGCGATCATGCCCTATTTGAATATAAGGTAACACTTTAGTTTAAGGTCTGTTCCTTAACAAACTCTTACCAATCATTTGATAATATATTAGTAAATACAAATATTCACTTGTAGTGGAATTGTCACGCCCCGATCGTGCCGATCCTTCTGTGCCACGCCCCCCTAGTTAACCTCATGTGGATTCCCAGCGTTTTACGGCTGTTTCTGATTGGTGTCATTAGTCCAGTGTATTTAGTCCGCGTTTCCGTTCGTTTCCCCAGTCCGGTCATTGACGTTACATGTCTTGATGTGTGTTACACCGGAAAATAAATCCCTTTTGTGATTATTTACGGCTTCCTTCGCCTGCTTCCGCGTTGCACCGTGACATAATTTAGAAATGTATAAGGAAATATCTTATTCCTGTCTCAGATAGTATTTACTAAAGAGCTTGTAAATGCTCATTTATAAGTAATATCTGAGTATATATATTTGCAAGTGGTTCTTTGTAATACAAAGAGCAAAATATCATTATAATGCATTTCTAAATTTGTGAATACATTTTTATACCTATTGATATATTATTAAATGATTAGCTGCAGTTTATTAATTAGTTTATTAATAAGCTGCATACCTCAAATGAAAGCGTTACTGAATATATAAATAGGCGATTTCAGTGATAATTGCATATTTCTATTTGAAAAATCATAAAAGTATATCGAAGATGCCTCATGGCAAGAGAGTATGTCAAAAAGTTTTTATATACTGTTGTTTGGTTCCACTGATGAACAATTAATTAACGGTTTAACGATTGGCCAATAAATAATGTTGCTTAAAATAATACATGAACTGAGATTATGCGTTGGTTGTAGCGCTTACGTGTCACACTGCCCCCTGCAGGGTGTCGGGGAACCTGCCAGCCATGGACTCCAACGGCATCTGCCAGAAAAGCAGGCGTACAGCAGGAAACCAGGCGGCGCTGTGCCAGAGCCAGCCAGAGGTGCTCTACGCTGTGGCCAGGGGCACCAGTCTGGGCGTGCGCGAGTGTCAGCACCAGTTCAGACACCACCAGTGGAACTGCACGCAACAGGGCAAGTCTTTCCGCAGGATATTACAACAAGGTGAACGCATCTTCCAGCATCCCCTATTCTGTATTTGCGTTAATCGGATTCACAATTGGCCGTTTCCATTCTGACATCAGTTCGTCTGTGCACGCTTTCCGGTATGGCTGCCATTGGCTGCATCTTGGGCAGAATCATATAGTTGAAATGCCATAATTATGCATCCACCCAAGCGTATAAAACTCTACGTAACCGGGAAATAGAGCCGTTTGCTCCCCGACACCAATTTTACGCCACATGTAAAAAGAGTCCCCACTCTGTCCGTTCCCACTCTGCTCTGCTTTTGTATCTGAATAAGCAAACATATTTTATAAAATGCCTTATGAGGGAAGAGTGGCATTATCGGGATTGTCTCACAATTTAATGTCAGATGTGATGTTACTAATACTAACCAATAGAGGGCAGCAACTCTCTAATCATTCATCCAGTTTTTAATTTTTGTCCCGTTCCTGTCATTTTTGCTGAAGCACTCACAGGAGTCTTGTCATGAGTTGCGATTGTTGCGATATACCTCCATCAGAATAGTTACATAACATCCCAGTGCTTATCTTTATATTCTAAACAAGTTGACGAAGGACGCCATAATAATTAGCCAAAACGCGTTATTTTTCCACACTAACCACATTAATCATCAGAACACAAACTATTGCTTTACAATTCTTAACATAATTACATAATAAGCACAAACTCTAAAAATTTAAATAATCAAACACCTAACAAAAAGCTATTTCATTACCCGAATTTACAGAACAATAACAAACAGCTGCACAGAGGGGAAGTCAACAGCAGACATCAATCCACGTCAGGTGTACACACGAAACGCACCACGGAAGGGAAACTGGACATCCTGTACCTACAGCACAATTCGACGACACGGACATTCAACAACAACTGCTCACATTTATAGTTATATTCATAAGATTATTAATCATTATTTACAATGTTTTCAGGTGTCGCAAAGCATGCCGGTACGCTCGTTCTATAACCAGGTGCGCCTCCACCCCCCGCGGCGCTACAATATCTTTATGCTGAAGTATAAATCACTAAAAGTCCTGGAGGTCATTGCTTAATGAGTCTGATACAAAACCGTAAATTCCCCACTGTTCTGATTCGGGGTTTAATTGCTTTTTTTTAAACCAAGAAAATTCTGCAACAAACACGGACAAAGTAGTTTCTGTCTTATTCGCGGAGCTAATAGAACATCTAGGTCAAATTCTTGCATTGACATCTACTGGTGACGTCATATTTGTCCTTGTAAGAGTTTGACGCAACAAAGAAAATGTACGTTTTTTTTTTATTTTTATCTTTTCCTTGATAAGTTAATTTGACTTGCTTGTGGTATTTGCCAGAAGCAACTTCCAGGAACCAGATACTTGGTCCATATTCACCTCTCCCCTCTGAGGTTTGTGCTCTGTGAAATTGTGACAGTTAATGGCTCATTAATTACCAGGCACTAATTTATAAGGGGATTTTAAACTATTTGTAGTTTTTTTTTTGTCCTCCACTGAAACCTGCGCATGCTGGTTGTCTGGCAGATATCCGAGAGACGGCATTCGTGTTCGCCGTTGTCGCAGCCGGCTCAGTGCACACCGTGACCCAAGCGTGCAGCTCAGGCGAGCTTCTGCAGTGCGGCTGCGAGGACCCTCACGGCAGGCGTCCGCCTCAACTGCCCGCCACTTTTGGCAAGCAGGGCATCATCTGGGAGTGGGGTGGCTGCGGAGATGACGTGGAGTTTGGCTTCGAGGCATCCAGGAGGTTCATGGACACCAAGAGAAGGAAGACCAAGAGCGATGTTAGGACACTGATTGACCTTCACAACTACGAGGCGGGAAGGCTGGTACAGTCATGGAGCTTAGTCTGCCACGGGCAGCACGTAAGAGCTTCATAAGACCTTCATAAACATTACATTAAAACGGTTAATGTTGTTAAGGTGTCATGAAGGTCTTACTCAGCAAAATTGTAGATTAATTCAACTTTCTTAGTTATTTAAGCAGGATTGACATTGACACCGTCAGTAGAAAATCAGTGCAATCAGTTTTTCTGTGCATGCAGAGAATGTTATGAAGGTCTTATATAAAATTCTACTATTAACAGTTATTAAAAGTATGAACACCTTGCTTGACCTTTTGTCAGTTACCTAGACTTACCTGTCGCTACTCTCATAGTTTGTGTTATTTAGATCTTATCTTTACTAATTCTATATCAATATTATGAACAAGCAAAAAGACGTTTCACTGAAGCCGCCCCCAGCCAGGGGTCAAAGGCAGGTGAAGCAGCAGGTGCAAGTTCTGCTGAGGGAGTTTGTCCCCCAGATAGCAGGCCTGCACCTGGAAAGATCCGGAAAATACTACCCCTGCTGCAGGTTATCGTGCGTAAATCTAAATGATGTCCCAGAGCAGAAGAAAAGGTGAATTCCTCTTAAATGGGGGGTGATTTTATCTTACCAGCCCACCTCGATCTTTACCCCCAGGCAGTGAGAAATCATATGTGGACGGAGTGTAAATGCCACGGGCTGTCTAGCTCCTGTTCTCTGAAGACCTGCTGGAGGAAGATGCCCCATTTCCGAGAGGTGGGTGACCGTCTGCTGCAAAGGTACAACAGTGCTTTCAGGGTGATGGGCAGCAACGATGGTGGGATGCTGGTGCCCGCCGGCCAGGGCGTGAAACCCCCAGACGGCCTGGATCTCGTCTACTCGGATGAGTCTCCGGACTTCTGCCTTCCCTGCAGACGGACAGGTTCACTGGGCACAGGGGGCCGTGCCTGTGATAGCCGGGTGACTGGCATGGGGGGTTGCCGCCAGCTCTGCTGTGGCCGTGGCCACAAGAAGGAAACACAGCTGGTGGAACTGAACTGCCTTTGCAGGTTTTACTGGTGCTGCACAGTGGAATGTGAGAAGTGTTCCACCAGTAAGAACCTCACTCTCTGCCTCTAGAACTGTCTGGGGTGAAGATTTCACCAAGGTCTTAACATCTAGAAGCCCATAACAGGAGGTTCTTATCTTAAAACTATTTCTGAAAGGAATGCAACTTGGTTTCTAAAGGCCTCCAGAAGTGACTGATAAGTCTGTGTCCAAGACCTTGTTAGTCTATTCATTTCCAGAATGCAAGTGTACGTAGAATTCTATTGCAATGATATATAGTTCACCACATCCGGAAAAATAATTCTCTAGATCAGAGGGAAGGTTAACTTTGGTAAATCCAAAACAAACCCTTTTGTTCCATTAAAACTGTACAATGCATTCCTGTGGCAAATATCCTTACCATTTCTGAAAACTTAGCTATAGTGGGCAAAACTAGCAAGTGAAAGAAAGTATCCTTGTCGGTTATTATGTAACAAACGTAAAAATGGTACAAAGAAAATGAGAATGCTGAGATTCCTGCACAGAGCACACGCCATTTCTGTTACCAGAAGCCGACACCTGGATTAACGGCACGTTCCCACTATACGCGTTGCGTTGCGCTTTCATCAACGCACGCGTTCTGCGATCCGGTAGAACATCGTACATACAGTAGCACCGAAAGCAATGTATGGCGTTCCCACTAGTGCGCTGCGCACTGCTGCATGCATGTCTCTGCGCTGCGCAGACCAAACGCGTTCCAAATCGTCTGTATACGTTTTTTACTTCCTCTTTTCTCCACATATGCTTGGTTCCTCAAATCCTCATACAGGATCCAAAACGGCCCTTTGTCTTCTCTCTCAATCAGCAGGGGATGGCCCCAGGACCTGCGGGTAGGGTACACCTTCTGCGGCGTATAATTGCCACTATGAGCACTAAAGCTGAAAGCAGCTCTGAATTCATTTTAAAGCAGAATGTAGTCAGAATCTGACGCCAAAAACAACCTGTGATCTCCACACTAAAATCTCCTCATAAACCCACACTACGACACCAGTGTCATCTACATTAGTGTCATCTATCTATTGGCATATTTCAATAATGTTTAAATATGTAGAATCAAAAAACGCGTAGTAAAACACAACATCAAATTATATATACATAATAACGCGCACAAACGCGAGATAACACAGAAAGTCATGGAAAAAATAAACGCAATACGACGCCTTGCGCTTTTCGCTGCGTTTTTTTGGCTTCCCTAGTGTGAACTCTAATGGCTGTTGTAACTATCACAGATTTTTGACCAAATTTTATAACATGCCAGCTTATTCTGATGACAAGAGTCCAGCTATTTTTAAAGCCTTTTAAATTCAAGAGGCGAATAAGCATTTTTAAAGATGTTTTTTCATTCTTTTTATCGGCACATTTTATTTACATGCATACTCATGTCACCAAGGTCCCAAACAAATCTCTCTATTCTGTTACCTTTCTTTTTTTTTTTTAGCATCCTGTAACATTTTAATTCCCAAATAATTCTATAGATTCACTGTACAACTGTGCAAAGTTTTCTTCACCACCTCTGCACAAAACTCCTGAACAACAACTACTGGACAGCTATAACAGAAATAATGTGGATTTTTTTTCTATTGCCGTTTCACTGGGTAACAGAATGTGGTTCCTTACTGGGAGGCTTGAGGGTAAAGCTGTCGCTATGACAACCAAACTCTATTCATGTCACATTTGACCTTGACAGAGAATAAGGACTTACCTGTAGTCAATGCATTCAAAGTACCTGTTCCGAGCAGTGTTGACCGCCAAGTTACCCTTGAAATAACTCAACCAGGAACACCACCATGGATGCAAACTGTCACGTAGTTTCTGGAAACCAAGGAGCTCATGTACCGCAAAAGCTGTGTTTCGTTTTGAGTTATATTTTTCTGTGATGTTTGCTGGAAAACCAAATGTGAATTGTGTTGATAAACTAAATGGGTATATTGTGTATATCGTTTTTACCTTTAATAACAGTATATAACTATTGTATGTTCTGTTATGACTTATGATGTACAATACCATACTGTTCTGCAGCATTGTTTGGGGTAACCAAACATTACAAATAGGTGGAGGACTGTAACAATGCATTATGTAAGAATACCGCATTATATAATAACTCAATTAAATGTTAACAAGTTTTCACTTCATTATGCAATAGCACCCACATTTTGTAATACAACGCTTGAATGCATTAGGGGAGACCAGAGATGGTTGTAATGTTTTTTACATTTTTGCCAGAATATCAGAGTTTTTTAATGGAATCCCATTCAAAATTTGACACAAACCACCTGTGTGTGTCTTCAGTTAAATAACAGTTAAAGGTTTTATCTCTGAATCACAAACAGACAAACAGCGGGTGAATTGTTACAATTCACCCCATAGTCAGGGATAGTTGTAACACAGCCCAGGGTTAATGTAACATTATCAATGATGTCAAAGTTTTTTATTAATTCTTTTTGTTCTTTTTGTGTGTGTGTGTGTGTGTGTGTGAGTGATGTTTGTCAGCATCAGCATCACTGTGGTGACAGGTGTATTGAACTTCTCTTGGTGCACAGGCCTGATAAGATACTCTTATTTTTACGTGTGTACTTGTCTGTCCTTGTGAGTGTTACCGACAGCTGCGGGCGCGAGCGGCGTTTCTGTTTGCGTCCTTCGCATCAAACACCCGCGGGTAATATTATCGAACATCGGTAACATTAACTGTAAAAGGTCAGTTGCTCCGGAGCTTTGCTCGGTCGCCGGTCGGGGCCGGGAGGACATTTTCCACTTTTTTCCCCGCTCCGGCAGTAGCCTGCATTGAGAGGGTTTTTGTGGTTTTTTGGCCTCCCTAGAGCAACTTCACTTTAGTTTAGCTAAACGTGGTTCAGCAGGAAGTTAATCTCGGGTAAGTAATTGTAGTGTTGTAGTTCTCGAGACCGGTCTTGGTCTCGAGACC